ATGTTTTTATTTTGTATTTATTATTGTTATTTTTAATTGTTATTATTCTTCATCATAATTATCCGAGCCTTATCCATCTATTTGGGGTAGCCAACATTGGATTAGAATGCATGTAGAGATGCGGCAAAAGTTTTATGTAGGCTGCCAACTTAACACAGCCCTCCTCCTTTCTCATCCGGGCTAGGGACCCGCCATGGCAGAGCGTTACTATTGTTTCTTAGAATTAGTTATAAAGATATATTCTTCTTTTATTAAAAATAAACCGATGTTTTGGGTGTTTTGGGTGTTTTGAGGCTTTTTTTCATATAAAAATGGGTTGAGAAACAGGGGCCAACCATGAGTAGGCAAGAGTGTATCAAACTAGTGGCCAAAATACCCATTAATTTCAGTTAGGAAACTTTGCCTAACCATGAGTAGCAGCACCTCTGAATGAGACCTAGTCCTTCTAAACACTGGCAATGCCTTCCTCCTGCTTCCATTGCCTCACCAACTCAATGCAACTATACTTGAAGCCAAATACCCTGGGCAATTTTCACATTTTCACGTACTCTGATCACAAGTTGTAGAAGGAACCTGTGAATTGACTGCAGCCCAGTTTGAAAACCAATATGGTAAAACAGCTTGTCATCTAGAGCTGCAAGGCTTCACCAAGGCTGTAACCCAATATGGAACTTTGACCCTCGTGATCTATGGAATCTTTGGGTCCCAGTTCCATCCTCTCTTTCATTAAACACACTACAAAGTAGTAAAGAATAATTCAGAAAATTTTATTATTTCTGGACAGAAAAATTTGTTGCAACCTAGTATGGAATAGTCCCCTGACATGGCATTTCCTAATCAGCTGGGCAACTAGATGGTTACCATAGGCCATGTGCCTACTGATCTAAGGTTGCACAAATGTGTAACTCCCAGATTCTGTTTAGCATTAATCCTCCAATCTAAGGTCTTCTTCAAAAATTATGCTTCTAGAAATACCATTTTTTTTAATAGATGAAATGCAATGGGTGAAGGATACACCTTTTTTTGTCGATACTTCCATGAACATTATGCATCTAATTGTGCTATGGCACTATGCAAAGCAGATGGGTACATACAAAGGTGCAAGAGAAAATAGAAAAGTATGTGGCAAGGATGGGTTGGAGAAGGTATGACTCAAGCTGACAAAGGAAAATTTGTCCAAATATGAAATATCAAAACAACAGCTTTACTACCACACCTGTTGTAAACAGACACGCAAGACGGCAGAATGAAGTGGAATATTATATATATTACCCAATAGATTGTTGGAAGAAGTCTCTTCAGGTAAGAAAATGTAAAGTGCCCTACACTAATTTTTACATCAAAACAACTAAAAAAGCCCATCATCATCATCATCAAAGCCTTGTCCCAACTAATTGGGGTTGGCTACACTAATCCCAATCCGTCATTCTGCTCTATAAAGGGTCAGACCTTCAGTGAGGCCATATTCCCCACACTTTTTCTCGCTATTTCCAACCATGTCCTTTTGGGCCTACCTCTTGCCCTTTTTGAGCCTTTCACTTAAACTAACTAGCACCTCCTAACAAGTGCTATACTGGGTTTGCGCCACATATAGTCAGTCCATCTAAATCTACTTTCTCTCATCCAATCGCCTATTGGTGCCACACCTAAATTCTCCAGAATGTCTTCGTTTCGAATTCTATCCCTTATTGTCTTGCAACTCATCCATCTCATCCTTATCTCAGCTACACTCATTCTGTGGGTATGTTGTTATTTAACTGCCCAACATTCCGCCCCATAAAGTAAAGCTGGTCTCACAGCTGTCTGATAGAAGTTTCCCTTCAGCTTCATTAGTATGCAGCAATCACATAAAATTCTAGTTGCACATCTTCACTTCGCTCACCCAGCTCTACTTCTATGTATGACATCTTCCTCAATCTCTCTATTTTCCGAGATTATCAACCCAAGATATCCAAATGCGCTTATTTTGGTATTTTTTAGCCATCAATCTTAACTACCTCCTCGTCTCTACTCCCTATTATTACTAAACTTACATTCCATATACTTCGTCTTTGTCTGGCTAATTTTAAAACCTTTAGATTCTAAAGCATCCCTCCAAAGTTTTAACTTTGTATTGACACCATTTCGGGTCTCATTGATTAAAATCATGTCATTCACAAACAACATGCACCACGGTACCTTATCTTATAGGTGTCTAGTTACGTCGTCCATAACTAAGACAAAGAGATATGGGCCCAATGCTGACCCTTGAGCAATACGTCATGATGCTAACAAACATGTCACTAGGTAGAAACCTATTCATTAGCAACAATACTTCATAAATTGGTGGGTGCATTGTCACCCATCATAAAAACAAATTTGATGGGATTCAATGTCAAAATTTCGAGAAATGTGTTTTCTTTTTGAACAGTGATTTGCTTTATCAATTTGCAAAAAAATGAAGCATAAAATACCAAAGGTGGCTTGAATTGATGCAAAGTAGCATCTTAAAGCCTAAAACTAGAATAGCATCTCAAAATGCATCCTCATTAGCAAGTGTGACAGCATCAGAATTAACTTCCATTCTAAATTGATGGAAGAGAAGCAGCCGTGGAGAACCATCATCTTCTGTCTCATCAAAGATCATAGCCAGATGCCTAGTTGTAGGGAAAATTTTCAAGAATGTGTTTCCCTACATTTCTCACACATTTTGCTCATGGCCCCTAATGTCCTCTACATTTTTTCCTACACATACCAGGCATTTCCTCTAAAGTTTTCAAGCAATTGCCATGTACTTCCTTAGAAGCCTTTTCTAGGGGAAAAAACGTTTATGGATAGTGAAAAGTTAGATAAAGGACTATATATCAAGTTGCACACAAGGTGCAGATGAGATAAAAATTCAAATCAATCTGTTAAGAAAGGAATCCAACATAACATGGATTCTCGACCAACAACCAATATAAGGAGGACTGAGGAGGTAGGCCCCTGCATTCACAATCAAAAAAGAGATGATGAGGGAACTATAATCATACGCGAGAGACTCAGGACTTCACCAAGATTCCTAACAATTTCCAAGGGCATGGTGAATCTTGGTGGGGCCAAATGATGTTAAGCAAGATGCCTTCCACGACTATGGGCCAGGGAAAGGATTAGAAAAACATTTTTAATGAGGTCAAGACTGCACCAGGTTCCATTGCAAAGCAGTCTCATACCATCATCATCATCATCATCAAAGCCTTTTCCCAACTATTTGGGGTCGGCTAGAGCAGTATCAGTCATATATCAAATACACAAGTAGGTTCCAAAAAGCCTTTCTCCCGAGCCAACCCCTTGCTCAGTGTTCCTAATCAATACCATCCACTCGTCCAAGGTGAGGCTTACAAAGGAACAAGGTTTTAAAATGAGGCTGCATAATGCATTATGCACTAGGAACCGCATTTCATAAGGCCGAATATGCGCTTTGGAGGGAAGCGTCTGCATATGCACCGCATCCCTTGGCATATGCGGCCAGCGAGTGAAGTGAAAAAAAGCCACTTGAGAATGGGTATTTTCAACTTTTTAAGCCCCGAAATAGGGGAAGTAGGGTTTTAGGGAGCGGGGGGTGGTATTAAACCCCCAAACTAACAGCCACATCCATGGCCTTTTACTTCATCAAATCGATAAAAAAAAAAAGTGGCAAAAGATTTCCGCATTGGTTGATCTTTGGTTGTTGATTTGTTTCTTTTAGGTGTTGATTTAAGGAAGTTTTAGCGAAGTTTTGACAACAAATTGAGGGTTTCAAGGGCCGAGAAGAATTTAATATTTGTTTCCTTTGGGTGTGATACTTTTTTGAACTCTTTAATCTTCATGGCTTTTAGTTTATATTTTGTAACTTTAAAGTTTGTGGTTGCAAATTTGTGATTATGGTTGTTGAATGATTTATGAAACTAGTTTCCATATTCTAGTTTCTGCTTTCTAATGTCTTTTATGATCTATCTGGGGATGGTAGATATAGAATCCCCGACAGCTGATACTTTGGAGTTAAAGAATAAATTAAATACCTACGATCACATAAATCACCTCCATATTTCTTTCTATGTATTAACCTTTCTTTTTTAGATTTTTTACAGTTTTTATATTTATTGACCACATCAGGACAATGCACTCGCATCTGGACCGCATCGAGTCGCATCGCCGCATCAGGCCACATTCCGCATTTTAAAACACGGCAAAGGGAGCAACTGTCAAGATGTTTTCTTAAGAAAAAAAGTTGTCCACGTGTTTTCTATTAATTTTTCAAATGGTTGTCCAAGGGATTCCTTGTCATCCCTAGAATGCTACATGTTTCAGAACCCTGTGGTTGTTTCCAAGTTGCTTCTGGAACATGTTTCTCCATCCTATGAACTATAGTATCAATGTTGAAAAATGCGGATTTGGCCACCTAGGCAGCCCATCTAGGAAATTCAAGGGTATATGCCTTGCCTCAAATTGATCTTAGAAACTATAGGTTTTTAGAAATACAAATGAAACACATCATCTAAGTCCCCAATACATCATATTTCATTTACACATATCAAACCTGAACCTGCCACTGAATTACTTAAAGAGTGTAAAAGTCAAATAAAAAGATCAAAAGATACCTATTTCCCATGAAAAGACAATTGAAAATTATCAGGAAAAAGTGTCTTTCTTTTGCCTTATTGCCAATTTAGTACCGTGTCCCAATTGGTAATCTATAGTTATCTAATTGATATTTGGTCTTGTTCTTGTACACCAAGGACAAGTTTCATAAAATGCTTGTTGATAGCCGACATAAAGAATCCCCTAGTATCAACGTCAAGGTTTTAATAGAAATAAGCAGGGTTCAGATAATACCATGCTAGGTGAAGGAGTCCCTCTAACCAAGAGTCCCATTTGTCTTCTATTTTTTTTTTTGAGGAATGTTGACATTTGTATTGCTATAGAGAGGAGTAAAAAATTGTGTTTATCTGAGAGTTCCCGCTAAGTGGGATTCTCGATAAAAATTAAATCAGCAGACCCTGTACAAAAATTTGGGTTATAAGATTACCCCCTCACAAAATTTTACAAGCAAATGCCAAAGATAAGGCTTATAAAAGAGTCCATACACAGTGAGATTTACAGGGCGATATGCACGAGAAGGGACCCAAAAAATTTTAGGTTGGAGTCCACTAGTCCCATTTGTCTTCTATTATCTTCACAATATGTGAATAATGCTTTTCATTATAATCAAAATTAGTCTTAATCTCCTCCTTTGCAACCTCCAGTGCTTGGTAAATATGACCCATAGCTGGCTTCTTCTCACTGTCAACAAGGCGCAAAACCTTAACCAAAGATTCAAAGGCTGCGAGGGCACGAGTAACTCCATTCCAGAAGGTTGGTGTCAAAACCAAACAAGCCACCATCTTCCCAGTACTTGTATTGGCCCACTTGCATTGAGCGCATTCTTGAGATACAAACATCTCCCTGAACTTGCGTTTTTGCTCCATTACAGAAGGCAAACACAAATAAGAGGTGGCAAATCTAGTAACTCCAGGCCTCACCAAGTCATTCTTATAAGTGAAATTCCTCATCATGGGCAATAAATAGGTCTGGTTGTAAATGAATATCATGATGGCTCTTGCATTCTTTATAGTTGAGGCCATGGCTTTCTTCTTGCTTATTGTCTCAAGCATGACATCGATGCAATGAGCTGCGCATGGTGTCCAAAGGATGTGTGACTTATTGGCCTCAAACATTCTACCAGTCGCCATATTGGCTGCAGCCACGTCCATAACCACCTAAACTACATGACACTCTCCCATCTCCTCAATGCATTTTTCTACTATACTGAGTATGAAATCCACATCACGTATCTTGCTTGTTAAGAAAAATGTCCCCATTCGACAATTTACCAACAAGTTCATAATGCTCCTATGTCTTTTTTTTTTTGGTAAGTAAAGTGGTAAGTCAGTGGAGATTTGGGCCCCTACCCTTTGGTGAGAATGGAGTCAGACACCTCACCATGGGGCTCGACAATACTACCACCAAGGCCCCATGCCATTCTCATAAAGTGGTAAGTCAATGGGGATTTTTGGGCCCCTACCCTTTGGTGAGAATGGAGTCACAGACTTCATCATAGGGCTCGACAATACTATCGCCAAGACCCCAAGCCATTCTCGAAAAAAAAAAGGTGGTAAGTCCGTGAGGATTTTTGGGCCCCTACCCTTTGGTGAGAACGGAGTCATAGACCTCATCATGGGGCTTGGCAATACTACCGCCAATCATTATAGTAACACCATATCTAGCTCATACGTCCCTATGAGCCTTGAAATATTCATTAGTGAAATGCACTGCTCTTTTAAGCAAGGGATCTCTGAGTTGATAGTGTGATCCTAGACCATATTGCCCTACCACTTCCATCATTATCAAGAAGCTCTTCAAACTAGCGGCATTGAAAGAGATTTCACCTTGATAGATCCATGTTGCAACATATTGACCTCTTCTTTCTATGTGGTTTATAATTGTCTGCTCCTTTTCTTAAATCGCAAGCTCAGGATCAAGAGATGGGAAGTAAGAATTCCATAAGTCCCCCTTGCTTTAGGTCTCTGCCAAATCTCCAATGACCTATTGATAGAGCCCCTTCTTAAGCTAATTCATCTTCCTCTCTCTCTCTCCTCAATATCAACTGAGCTAGTGACATCTTCAAGTTTTTTCCTTTATCAATTTCTTCTTGTTTTTTACCCCTTGTAGATGGTCCAACATCTCCTTCCTAATATTTGCAGGAACTTGGGTACATGGGGCTACATCCCCTCTAATACCGGCCAAATTGTACTTCTTTTTACAAGATCTGCAGGGCACAAGCCATATTTCTGTCCAGGATCAGATTATTTGTTAGAACTAGAAGAACACAGCTTCACCTAATCAAATCCTAAAAACAAATTGAAACCTCATTAAAAATAGAATTGCTTTATAATTGATAATTACAGAACTGTAGTGTTCAAAAAACAAATCTTAAGAAGTCTTGTTTTTTGGGAGCTTTCTCTCTCAAATACACAAAAACATAAAATAAAGAAATTAAAAAAATTCTTGTTTTTTGGGAATTTTCCTCCGTCAAGTACAAGAAAACAGGTTTTTGGGGGTTGCAATGCCCCCTAAACCCATTCGCCCCTCTTTGAGGGGGGTAAAAAACATTTTTGCCCCTAAGCAGAGGGCAAAATTCCACCCTCTCGCCGAAGGGCACAAAGCGCCACCTAGGTGGCTTCCTGGAGGTAGGTGCCCAGGCAGGTGCCTAGGGACATGACATCCAGAAATCCCGCCTAACCCCCTATGCAAACAGGAACGGTCACTGGCTTCCTAGCAGCCAAATTCTCAAACCTTGTATAGCATTAACAAATTTGATATAATAAGTAGGAAAGTTGGGCCCAAAATGAACTTTTGGATAACAGTAAACCTAATGATGGCTTATATTTCATAACTGGGATTAAAGAAACTAATCTAGCAAAACATTGATATAAATAACCAGAAACTCGTATTATGTCATTGAACAAAAAAGAAGTAAGGCAACACCACACCCTTCCTCAGTCAGCTTGTACAGAAAGCCTCTCTTTCTTTGCAATCTGAAAAGAAAAGTGTGGCAATGCCCCATGTAAGAATGTGAGACTGTAACTTGACAATCTAAAAGCACAATAAAGATCAATATTCGAATGTGAATACTATTCAAAGGGATATATTTGTTTTTATTTTTAATACAGAAATGAGAAAACAATGTATCAACAAGCAAAAGTTAAATGTACATGTGATGCAGTTAGACAATCCCGTACGTTACATAGTATGCTGAGGCAGGTGTTACTCGTATATATTTGACATGCCAAGTGCTTCAGAGTGTCAGCTGCTCCATGTTTTGCTTACTATTCCAAGACTTACTGAAAGCCGATGTTCTGTCGTCCCTCTCCTCACTAAGATGTCCCCTAAAACTAGAGCTTGCCTCTTCAGCATCTGAAGAACCAGGCCTTTCTGTTAGGAATTGCTCCCAAAACACATCATTTACTCTGCCTACGGTAGCTTGGGGTGCTTGAACTTTATTTGCCAATTCTCTTGATGAAGGCATCTTATTATTGCCAGCCGGACTTCTATCAAGCACTTTGAAATGATCCTCTCTAGAACTGCTTCTAATCTCAGCTGAAGCATCCTTCTCTTGACTAACATGAGATGGTGCAATTCTTGTTGAAGTATCACTTCTGTTGACTGGCAATGGGGAAGAAGAGAGAGTCAGATTCAGATGGCACGAGATGTTACCATCTCCTTCTTCAGTTGATGTGGAACACTGTCGCACACCATGTGGCTCTGGAGGAATAACAGTTTCACAGGGAAACTGAGTATTAACCTTTTCTGACCCAAGAGAAGTACCAGTATCTGAAAGCTCTAATCCGTCAGACACAAATAAAAAACCTTTTGCTCTCATCCCGACCTCTTTTGGAGCTTCTCTAGAGGTTCTCACTTGTGGACTGTCCCCATCTTCGTAAGAGCTATGCCCACTACCAGAAAGCAGATTATCTGAGGCAGCAGGAGATAATTCCAATTTCAGCTTATTTGCAAAGCCTTTGCTGACGTTTTGTGCAAACCCCAACATGGGTTTCAAAGTGTTTATTTCAGAAGCACTATGAATGATCTGATTGTCCACAAAGTTGTTCTCTACAACCTCTTGCAAAAAATCCACTTTAGGCAATCTCCTCTTCTTATTCATGAGTGGGAATTGTGTGTTTAATTGGACATGCCGAACAAGCTGGTCTACAAAAGAAGGGTTGCTGATGGCCCTATGCACGAAGGAAATCATCCTTTCTTGCCTCTGCTCCATTTCACGAACACGTTGCTCCAACATTTCCAGCAGTGCCTTTGTTCCATCCTGCTGCTGAATGAATTTGTTCAAGTTAATTAGAAAGGCATTTTTCTCTCCGGTGAGGTTTTCGATCTCTTCTTCAAGAGCTGCTCTTTCTGTATCACCAAAGTAGCTTGTCCCCTGCTGTTGTGGTAGACTGTGACTGTGTATAGGTTTACGTCGGTGTATATTTTTGAGCATATGCTTCTGATCCTTTACAAAATCCTCATTAGCAAATTCCCATCGCTCTGGGTCAATCTTACGGAAGCCCTATTTCATATTATTCAGTCAGTTCATATTATTCAGTCAGTGGCAACACGTAAGAAGTAAAATGAACTGAGAAAGAGTATAAAGAGACAAAAAACCATTGGACAAACAAAAAAGGACCTAGAACTAGAAGACCATCCATCACTAATCACCCATGATGATTTTTTAATTTAAAAGAAATCCCATTGAAGATTATTTCCCAAGTGAATTGTAAACCAAGGAATTTTTCAAATGATGCAAACCTCTTTCTGTTTAAGAAACATCCTCAAGGCTTATCATTATGAATGGATAAATAAAATAAAAGGATCCAGACTCAGGATATCAGTCATTACAGATTACAATTGGCTGTGCATTTACACACAAATTTCAAATCCTAGCAGTCAATTATAAAAATGAAAACAACCCAATTTTGATGGTTAAACACATATTCTATGAAGAAAAAAGACTCAAACTAAAATGATCCAATTATGAAACATAAGCAGATGAAAAAGAACTCACCTTGACGCTTATCATAATAGACCCTCCTTCAATGAACTATTTGCCACCAATAAAGTACAAATATCTAGATATCTATAATATCTAATAGTGAATATTAGAATATTTAAAAGAACAAAACATTAATAATTAGAATAATAGAATTAGAATAATAGAATTAGAATAAGAGAATTAGAATAGAGAAATATTCAAATAGAGAAAGATATTGTATCCAAGCATCCCCCATTGGTTTCATACCTGATTCATAACTAGAGACCTTTTCTGGTCCTTGACTAATCGGGGCTAAAACTCCAAAAACTAGAAATGCCAAAATAGGAATGACACTTGATATCATTAGAAATGCCCAGAAAATATCATATTCGTGAAGTAGAAACATAGATGTACTCCTATGAATGTAAAATATACCAAATTATTCGATTCGAATTGGAATTGTCAATTAACCCATAACTATTTACTCGAAACAAGAATTGATTACGATCGGGCCACATAGATTGTTTCGTTGATGTGGGCCGTGTCTTGTTCAAGATTCATCCAACGAGATCTCACTTGCTATTTTTATTTTTTATTATTTAAATTAGATTTAGATTTACTATTCTATTTATTATAGACATCGATAGATTTTTATTCTATTAATATCTATAACTATTAAGTTTATATTCATAATGGTATTCATTTTTTAGTATTCATTTTATTTATATATACTATTGAATTTTTATTCTATTTCTTTAGATTATAGATTATATAGAATTATAATTTTATTTGTATTTCTTTCATTTCAATTTTATTGAATTATTAATTTATTAATAGTAATTAGTAAATAAAAAGAATTAGTAAATGAGACAAAAATTCTCTCATTTTGACTCGGCCTCTCCTTTTCCATAACAAAAAAAATTAATTAATTCAATTCATTTAAAACTATGGTCTACTTTTTTCTCTTTAGTCTCTGGGATTTCTAATTTAGAATAGAATATTTCTAATTTAGAATAAAGTAGTATGTGGTAGAAAGTCCAGGTATTTTCATCTCGGGATTTCTGTTATGGTATATTCTACTTGGCTCGACGGGTTCTCCTCATTAAGATCTTCTATTTTTATTCAAATCTTTATTTCTATTGATTTCGATACGGAATGTATTGACCCATTAGATTCTCTTTACTTGTCCCAGATTCCTATTTAAAGGGGATTGACGTTGAATTCCGAGAAAGCCTTACAAACCCTTAACTTAATATTATCTTCTTTATCTTCTAGAACAACTATAGATTCTTATTCTATAGATATTATTCTATAGAACTATAGATATAGAACAATGAACAATAAACTCTACAACAATAAAAAAAACTATATAGCAATAACAATTAATAATAACAATTCAGAGATTTCTATATGCAAACTTAAATTTATTAGGCAAGGAAATACTAGAAGGCACAATCGTTGATATGTTTAGGTTTAGGGCCAATTCGTTAATTCAAAGATAATGAATTTGTGTTCTTGTTCAGCCAAAAGGGGATGAGTAGGAGATTATTAACTCTTACTCTTCCAGCTCAATCAAAGAGAACCCTAATCTTCTTGCATAAAATTGGGTCTGCATCAGTGGAATTGCAATGATGAGCAATTGGAGTAGATTGACCAGATCATTGGATATCAGAACAGAAGTATCCGTCAACAAAGTATTCACCATCAAAAAAACGATTCAACAAAATAAACAAATGATGAATGATATACAGTTACAGAACAGAAGTTGCACAAGAAAAGCATGTCATTATTCTCCTAAAGCCCCCAAACTATCCATAGCACAAAAAGTCCAGATTCTCCACTCAATTTGATTCATATAGCAGTAAGAGAAGACCACAAAAGTAAATCCTCAATAACAAGGAACAAATCCAACCCAAACAAGTCAACTATCAGAAGAAAAAAAAAAAAAAGGATAAAACCAAGAGATTGAGATGCGCACACATATGTATTAAGCTGCCTAATGAAGCAAGAGAAATTGATGTGCCTGAAAGCTACTGTCAAGCCCCAACTAAACTCTTCATTAACATCCAACTGAAATCCCAAAATCTCTACTCAATTTATTCATACAACAAAAAAGCAAGCAACCAACAAAATAGAACGCTCAACAAACTCGAAATAAATTCATATCCAAAGAAAGTAAGGTACGAAGCAAACAATTATCAAATAAACAAGAAGAAATCACGAAGAGCATACGTATGTATTAAGCTGCCTGATGAAGCTGGAGAAATTGTTGTGCTTGAAATAAGTAGGAAGGAGAAGGCGGGCAAATTCAGGGGGGTTCCACACCACAAAGCTAGTAGTCGACGAACTCCATGAAACAACATCATCTGTTTTACTATCATCCACCATCTCATAGGTCTTTATCAGGAAAGGAGCAGGCCCACCCCCACTACCACCACTGTTATCCTTACTACTACTCTGTGCCCCATCCATGGCTGATTCAGAAAGCCAGGACTTCTCAGCCACTCATCAAAACCCTAATTTCAAGAGCAAAACCAGAGATGCTATGGCCCAATTGTCTACTGATAAGAGAAAGACGAAGATTGGGAGTCCTTAACGGATATTTCAAAACCCTAATTTGAGACTTGTCGCCATTGACGAAGCTTGTAGAAGCTTCAGAGGATGACCTGTGCTCACTGCAAGTGAATTTTTGGAGATGATAATTAGGTCAAAATTAAGAATGGTGAGGGTTAAGGACAAAGAGTCAGGTCGGAAGGTCAGCTTATGTCAACCTTCAAACCCCGCGTTGAACCGGACAACGCACCTACACGGACCACGATCGGTTCCTTGTTCGTTTTATGTAGCCCGCTTCTTGTCTCTCGCGTGAACGTTACTTACGGAATCTGTTCATCTCACGCACGTCTACCAAGAATCTCTTAAATGCCATCAATTTTTTCTTAATTTGTCCCAGGTAGTACATAAAATTGTTCCTATATTTTTTTATGGATTCAGTATGTTTGTTGTCTATTTGTGCTAGGGTCCTTTCCAAATGCGCGTTGTAATATAGAAACGGGAGTCTATTTATGTTCTCATTGCAGGTGTGATCGAATGGACAAAAAATATATAGTTGATCTCAAATAGTTGAAAAAAAACTTTGATATTGATCCTTGCATGTCGATTAATTGTCTTTCTATTTTCCAAATTTCGACAAATTCTCTCGTTTTTTCTTTTCTACTTCGGCTTTGTCGTTTGTTTGATTAAAAGTGGTTTTTGAACACCACCAAGGGAGTTTGTTCCCGAAGAGAACGTTGTGTACAAATATGAAATCACTTTCTTATGAAAATAGTGCAATTCCCTATTATCATTTATTTGCTAAAAGATGCAACTACTAGCAACTGAGAAACAAACATTCCACCAGAAAAAATAGTAATAACAATAATAACTTTATCTTACGAAACCAAATGAATGGTTCTCAAATTCAGAATAACATCCATAAACCAACAACCGTAGAATACATCACTTCCATTTTCATTCTTCTAAAATTAACTCTCTAATATCCTAATATTTCTAGATAATATAGAATTTTCTATAAGTTGAATTATATTAGTTTATATGTCCCGACTGATAAGATCAAATGATATCTTTTTATATCCATATATCCCACAAATATCTGAATCCCAAATAATTCAGTTTGTAGTTGATTCTATTTCTCCACCAAGATTTTAAGTATTTCCCCACTCATCCCCTCATTCGTTTCTGACAAAGAAATCAATTGCCTCTACAAAGACAAAACCCTTCATTCGTGTACTGGGCCCACAAAACCACTCCCCTCTTCCCAAAACACTTTCTCTCTCTACCCCATTTCTCTCTCCCTCCCCAAACCATCTTCCCATTCTCTCAGTAGAAAATGTGGGACTACACACCAGAGGGCGACAATGAGCCTCTTGGGCCGCCTCTCCTTGGAAAACATTGCCGGAAAGGTGTCAGAAAACCAAATTCCAGCCGTTCCCTTGAAGCCTCACAAAACTCATGACACAGCTTGGGAAGCCATTAAAGCTGCAAAAATAAAGCATGGGGGTGTCCATTTTAGGTAATTAGGAGGTTGGTTTAGGCCATAATGGAATAGGTTCCCCCTAACGCATGTCCAAATTGGTATTTTTTTCGAGCATTGGTCTTTCCCATCACACGCAAAGCACCAATATATGAATCTGCCCCAATAACGTACCTTTTACTCTTACCAACCTCAACCTCACCATGATGGTTAACATTTATAATAATGATAAAAGTAATGATCCTATGATACCTTTTTATATTCATGTGTATAGAACTTTAAAGAATCACCATTAAATTTCACATAGATCTCTAGAAAAGTCAAGTCTCATACCCATGTGATAACTTTTTTAGAGATCTGTGTCAAATTTAATAATGATTTTTTTTAGTCCTATACATATGAGTGTGGAAATGTATCATAGGATCATTACTCAATAAGATAAATGGCACTATGAGACCCTCCCATACCCATAAAAGTAGGACCCCAAAGATCACCATTAACTTTTTATACAGATCTCTATAAAAGTTATGACATGGGTGTGGGACTTAAGTGGATAAGTTTTTTAGATATCTGTGTCAAAATTTAATGATGATTTTTTTTAGTCCTATACATATGAGTGTGAAAAGGTCTCATAGGATCATTACTCAATAAGATAAATGGCACTATGAGACCCTCCCATACCCATAAAAGTAGGACCCCAAAGATCACCATTAACTTTTTATACAGATCTCTATAAAAGTTATGACATGGGTGTGGGACTTAGGTGGATAGGTTTTTTAGATATCTGTGTCAAAATTTAATAGTAATCATTTTGAGGTCTTGCTCACATGGATGTGAGAGGGTCACATAGTATCATTACTTTAATAATAATAATAATAACAAAAGACACCTGCTTGAGCTTCCCAAGTCTAATTTCAAAGAATTCCTTTGCTTTTTTTATATGAGAATGCGAGAACTCAGATGAGACCTTGTGGCCTAGGGCCAAAAAAACCAGCTTGCCATTTGGGGTACCTTGCAGATTTAGAGAGACTACATTTTGGGTCGAGAAAGGGAGATAGAGCAATTGCACTGTCGGTGTTAGAGAGAAATATTTTGTTTTGAGTAAATTTAAAGAGAAAGATAGGGAGTCGTATGATGCATATTGTTTGCATCTTAACTTTTTTTTATCAAACACAATCAAACATGCATAGAAAAATATATATCATTATCATATATAATTCATATATGGCAATCATGTTATACATATTTCCATAAATTTAAATATTCAGTTCTGATCTGTATCATATATAATTCATATATGGCAATTATGTTATACATATTTTCATAAATTTAAATATTCCAATTCTATTTTGTCAAACTGACCCTAATTGTCTTTCTATTTCCCAAACTTTTATGAATTCTCTCTCCTTTTTCCTTTTCGAATCCGATTTCATCATTTGTTTGATTTGAAAAATGGTTTTGAACGCCTCTAAGGAGTTTGATCCTGAAGAGAACGTTGTGTATAAATATGAAGCCGCTTTCTTATGAAAATAGCGCAATTCCCAACTCTCATTTATTTGCTAAATGATGCAGATACTAGCAACTTAGAAACAAACATTGGGAAGTAGTAATCCAGTTGAACAAAAAAAAAATACAAACAATACATGGGAAAGAGGTAATCCAACCGAGAAAAAGAAACTTTATCCTACGAAACAAAATGAATGGTTCTCAAATTCAGAATAACATCCATAAACCAGCCACCATAGAATACATCACTTCCATTTTCATTCTTCTAAAATAACTCTCATTCTCGTCTTTCATTCTTTGTTTTTACCCACAACACATTTTCTCCCTTCTCTCATTTTCTTTTATTTTTTTGTCACTTTGAAATTTCCTTGTCATTAGGAAATTTGTCTTTATTTTTTTGTCACATTGAAATTTCCTTGTCATTAGGAAATTTGTCTGTAGAGATAATACACTATTCATCTTCACAGGCATACTCTGTCAGTTAGCGAGAGATTAAAGGCCCGTTTGGTTCCCTAGAAATGGGTACCCTAGAGAGATGACTCTCATGAAATTGGTATCTCCTAGAATATCGTTGCATATTGTTTGGAAAGAATTTGATAAGAGACCTAAAAGATGTCTCGCCACCGTTTGGGTTGCCTATAAGACTTGTCGCATGGAAATTATGTAAAATAGTATTATATAATGTTATAATATTATTATATAATAATATTATATTATACATATTATAATATATAATATTGTATATTTTAAAGAAAATATCTCTTTATCTCTTATTTTTAACTTTCATATCTCAAGAGACCCAAAATTGAAAATATTACTTGTAAGCAAAAAGTTTCCATCTTTTCTATCATACAAACCCTTTGGACCCCTTTGACCATAAATTTTTTATTCAAACAAACACTAAAATGACACCCTATTCAAACTCCATCTCTCTCTTTTCGCTTCTCGATGGATTTACCAGCCAAGGGGTTTAGCTTGAGCTCGAACATAAGCACACTTTCTTGTGTGTGAGAGAGATAGAGTTTAACGCGAAAGAGAGAGAGAGAGAGAGATGGAGTTTAAGTTTAGAGAGAAATGGAATTTTAGATAGAGAGAGATGGAGTTTGAGTTTTCGGGAGAGAGATGGAGTTTTGAGAGAGAGAGAGAGACGATGATGAGAGAGAGAGATGGAGTTTGGGTTTTAGAGAGAGAGACACGATGATGTGAGAGAGAGTTAGAGTCATTTTATAAGTTGTTGAGGTCAATAATACATGGTGAAAAGGGTTTAGGGGGTTGAAAGATAGAAAAGATGGAGTCATTTTGCTTACAAGTAATATTTTCAATTCTTGGGTCTGATGAGATATAGATGTTAAAAATAGGGGATAATAAGATATTTTCTCTATATTTTATTATATATTATGTTATACATTATAATACATTAAATATTTTATATAATACATAATTAATTATTATAAACATAATATACTATTATAATGGGTGTTGTTTGCTTTATGTGGTAACGTTAAACAATCAAAGTAAGGTGCACCTCCAAACTTTGTAATTTTGGAGTAAAAAATTCTTAGGATGTTGCAAGAATCTATTATTATCTCTAATTCCAAAATTTTAAATTCCAAAAACATTTCAAATCAAGATCTATAAACTCAAATTTTTTTTGAAAATTGACGGTCCAGATAATGTGTTGTAAGATATACTATTTTTAGGACTTGAAATCTCTTTTTTTCTTTGTATCTATACATCTTGATATTGATATGATCAATTAGACATTTTTTCAACATAAATATAGCATTTTTCTGGTAGATTTTTGAGGTGTACCTTAATTCTATAGTTTAAAGTTGCAACCGTATATAATGAATATTGATCATATATTATTACATACCTATTATAATACGTAAATTACTTATATATAAAAATATATAAGCATAATTATAGAGCAATAATTTCATACAATGGTTGTATCATAGTACAATGCACCACATTTCTAGAAAACCATGTTTATAGTATTTGTATGACCCAAAATTTGCACACACACTCTCTTTATCTCAATGATCAACCTAAAAATAAAAAACTAATTTGTACCCTATATATGGTCAAAATGTGTCCCCTCCAATAATGAATCTAGGCCGTCCATTTGATGAATTTGATGAATTTCAAGATCAAGTGAGCTAAAAAAATTACTTTTTAGGTTGTGTTTTCAAATTTTTCTTTTTTTGGTAATTATTCATTAGAA